AAAAACAAGTGAAAGCCAAAAATAATAATTTTGTAGAAACTGAATTATTTTATAAAATCAATTTATTTATAATGAACGAACTGATTGCTATTATTTTTCACAAAATCGATCGATTTACATAAGCCACATTCTAGGCCTGTTCTAGATTATCAAATATGGCCGAGTGAACTCCGTACGTATTTAGAAACATAATTAATGCGAATCGTAAAAATAATCCCATACCCGATAATTAAAATACATACCACAGATAAAGCCGTAATTCCAGGGCGTATAGGGATATAAATTTTGTATGCATTATTACATTTTTAAATCTTTTATCAAAAAAGCACACAAAACGTCAAACCCCCAACGCCGAAGAGAGAAAGTGCAGCGCACAAGCAGAAGCAGACGGTGAAGGGTGAACAAGAAGGAAATACGTCATCGACGTCATTATAAATTTGTTAATCTCGTCCATAGATAAAAGATATACAAAGATAGTGGTACGTATTATATTTAATATGTATTACATTGTTTTGCGAAATCGTCGTTGGTTGTTGATGTCGATTTAAAAAAATGATAATTAAAGACAGATACTGTAATTAACATAGATAAAGTAAGTAATTTTCAGGATAATTCCATAAAATAATATCAACTAGTAAGTTTATCCGCACGTTACCGAAGTTGACAGAAGAGGTCTCTGTTTGCGCTTGTATAAGCGCGAAATTCAAAATTCCGGTGCAACCAGGAGAGTCAGAAGGCTTTGGTTGATTATATTGCTATTAGTTTAAATAATAATTAAATACATCGATTGTAACTAATTTTCACGACAATTAGATAAAAAGGCAGTATTATTGTATCTAATTATCCATAGAGATATATTTGTTCTTGTTTATAGAATTGTCTATGATTAGTAGATGTGTACACGTCACATTCCAAGGACATCAATAAATAGGTTATATTGGTTCTATTTTGGTGAAAATAATTTTGTTAAAAATGGTGAGTGTAATAAACACCATCGACACTGGTCATGAAGATATGATTCATGGGGCTGAAGTTGATTACTACGGACTTAGACTAGCAACTTGTTCATCTGATAATTCCGTAAAAATATACGATATTAAGGATGGGGCCCACACCCTTCTAGAAGATCTTAAAGGTCATTTTGGACCAGTATGGCAAATTGCTTGGAGCCACCCAAAGTTTGGGAATTTATTGGCTTCATGTTCATATGATCGAAAAGTAATAATATGGAAAGAACATCAAGGAAAATGGACTAAATATTATGAGTATACAAATCATGATTCCAGTGTTAACTCGGTGCAGTTTGCTCCAGATGAATATGGCCTTATTTTAGCTTGTGGTAGCAGTGATGGAACAATTTCTATATTAACTTATCAAAATGAAACAAACAGTTGGGAAGCAAAAAAAATATTGAATGCACATGTAATTGGCTGCAATAGTGTTAGCTGGGCTCCAGCAATAACTTCGGAACCAATTTTTGATAGTAGCCAGCCACAACCACTAGTAAAGAGGTTAGTTAGTGGAGGATGTGATAATTTTGTAAAAATTTGGCATGAAGATGGTGACCGATGGATTGAAGAAAATAAATTGGAAGTTCATTCTGACTGGGTTAGAGATGTGGCATGGGCCCCGTCAATAGGATTAAACCGCCACGTTATTGCTAGTTGTTCTCAAGATCGCAGAGTTGTTATTTGGACCAGCGACAATTGCCAAAGTTGGACATCCACTGTATTAAACACATTTGATGATGTTGTTTGGAGTGTAAGCTGGTCATTAAATGGCAACATTTTAGCTGTATCTGGGGGAGATAATAAGATTACACTTTGGAAGCAAAGCCTAGATGGAAACTGGCAGTGCATCAGTGATGTTGTTAAAGGGCAAGGACAAATTAGTTCTGACCAAAGAGCTATTTGAACTTGTAATGTAAGGTTGATTTAACTTATGTTGCATGGTTTTGTAAGTGTATTTACTAATATACATTTTTAATATAATCCCTTGGCGCAGATGCA